AACATGAATATCTTCGTCATGAATAGCTTTCACACGTACATTTTTGAAACATTTGACTTTTTCATTCATATACATGTTGGAAGTAGCTGAGCAGAAAATATATCGGGTGATCTACTGTAAAATTTTAACGTCTTAATTTACAGAACTCAACACACTCCCTTAGAAAAGGAAAGGATTCTTCCCATTCCGAGTTACCGCAAGTGAAGAAACCGCTCACAAACGCCTCATCAGGTCTTCCTGCCAAAAAGGAAGCTCCACTTGCAAAGCTTCGTCCGTTGCAAAAGGAGAAGCACGTTCGCAGGAAACGCATTACTTCCGCCACTGGAGCTCGAACTGCAAGGAAACCTTTGCCGCCTATTGACACGAAACTTCAGAAACGACGCCCATTCAAATAAATATTTATAAGTAGAGGAAACGTGTATCATTTATACATTTTATCAGTATTTATTATTTATTTACATTTATTTCATTCATTCATTATTATCATTTACACATATTTCATTCATTCTTTATTTATTATCATTTACACATATTTCATTCATTCTTTATTTATTATCATTTATTCATTATTAACATTTACACATATTTCATTCTTTATTTATTTATAATCATTTATACATGTCATTCATTCATTCATTATTATCATTTACACATTTTTCATTCATTCTTTATTATTTTTTATATACATTAATAGTAAAGTGCGCCAGGAAAGTCTCTCCGCAGTGTCGCCATGTTGGTGAGAGTGCTAGCAACAGAAATTAGGTTAGTATCACGAGAACCAGGGAGAGCCGAGACGGTCCGAATGGCGCTGCATAAGCAACGGGAGGGGAAGGAGCGAGGTGACGGCACACACACGACACTAGCGCAGCGCACGGCAGCGAAGTCGAGGGCGGAAGCGGAGGTGGCTGTAGGCTTTGACCCGGGGCGGCGCGGAGATACTTTCCTGGCGCGCTGTATGTCTCCATTATATTGAAGACAATCAGGGTGTCAACTACTGTGGCCATTAGTCCCGTAAGTTTGGTGCATGTTATATCCCGAGCTGTGGCGTGTTGTGGAGGGTTGGACCAAGAAATCCGGCGCTAGCCTACGTACCGTCTTGCAAAGTCCCCTCCCTTTCAGGAAACTCCAACAGCAAGACAACGCCCCAGTCGGTACAAGACCTAAACCAGGAATCAACAGAATTTGCGGCTGCTCTAAGCTCGTTTGGTTTTCAACATGTGTGATAGTTTAGTGGATGTAACTATGTAAGAGTTAGTGGAAGTAATGGGTGAGAATAGGACAAGAAAGAGGAAGGAAAGATCGCGCTCTGTCGGCTTCTCTTTGTTCAGGTAGTGCTGGGGCATAACATAACAAACGGTCGAAATCATCGACAAAGCCACGAAAACGCCACGGTCACAGCCACGGCCACGGCCGGGAAACCGTACCAAGACCACAGGTCACAGAAAGAAGAGATGAAGTACGCAACGCTGTCAGTGTTACGGCGTGCGGTGTTATTGCTGTGATCAAATAAAACAAAGGTTCGCCGTGAGAGATTGCTGCTGACTGCCAGGAAAATAATAGGTGAATTTGCCGTGAATTTGAAAGACGTAACTCAACAAATGAAGGGGACGCGACCAATTAATAACTACTCTCATATTTTCTGAAATTGAGTTGCGTGTACTACTGAACTCTAGTGCATGCCTTCTGTACCACTGCTATCAATATTTGTAGAAATAGCCCACAGATTGTGCTTGAGTGTTCAATGAACGTTCTGTAAGAGGGCACTGTTCCACAAAATCAAAAAAAATCGACCTTTTCACCTATTCTATATTCATCCTCCTTTTATATTTTATTTATTCCGTAAATTTCAAAAAGGTATCGCAATCCATTAAGCTATTATATCGATCTTTTAAAATAGGTAGCGTGCCCATTGTCTACAATTTCCGCGAGAGAAGGAGCTAAGCGACATTCATGAGAGTCGTTAATAATACCAACAATAGCACCAGAACATCAGATGTTCTGTTACATCCCTTATTCAATCCACCAACCGAATTGTATTACTGACATTTTAAGTAAAGTTTTTGGAATATAATTATTAGACATTTGATGTTTAATACTGACGTCAATTTCACGGACTTTCAGAATCCCTTGTTTTGCAAGAGTGCCAATCGCTTTGAATATTCGACACTAATGTGCAATAATAATGGAAATGGTGTAAAATGCAATATATACGAGAATAGAAGCAACAAAATACGGCAGGAAATTTATATTAATCTTAACTCGTGTGAATTCAAATGTTTCAGGAATAAATTAACGTATATGTTTAGGATTTGTAGGTTATTTGTAGGATGAGACTACATTAATTTCACAAAAAAACTATTTATCACAGGTGGCTATAATTACACACATTTTGTATTACTAATAAAAACAAGTGTTGTTATAGTAAAATTGGGGGGGTTATATCGAGTTTATTCAGGTAGCAATACCTTTCTTTGAATAAATGTGTATATCACAAAATGACGTGATGCAATCAGATGTATTAGAAATTTGTATCTTGCAATTCATATGAAATCAAAACTCAAAAGAGAACGTATAAACATATTCATTAAAGACATGTAGGTATTGATAGTAGTTTTCTATTATATTTTTAACGTATTTTTTTTTCGATAGATCTGCACGCGAAAACTTATATTTTGAAGATACATTTCCTGTCGGCAACATTGATTACGTACTACGACTTTGAATTTCCCGTCTTGCTCACACTCTCTTTTAAATGCTTCCGCTGCCATGTTGTAGACCCCTAGCAACGAATGAGAGACAGAAAAAGGTCGTCAACAGTCCGCCCTGTGTTTCAAAAAATCTTTCTTCTATATCACGTTACTGAGCGCCAAGAATTTGAAAAATTGCACGTTCAACTCGACCATGCATTTATAGCATTTTCAGTCGTAATGTCCTTCTGATTTTGTTCTTTTAACCGTGTTTTAGGATATATTATATCCGAGAACAGCCCCTTAAAACCTCATGGATGTCACAATTAACGTTTAGTACAGAAATGGACCTATAATTGAATCGCTGCACTGGAAACCGAAATAATTTCTTGATGTAACTACTACATTAATGTAATTTTCTTGATGTAAATTTATTGATGTAACTAATACATTTGGTTAAGAGCCTGAGAAATTTCGGTTGTTGCCGGTATGAATTGGACTGACTTCCATTTCAAATTCATATACACACAGGTTTCAAAGTATACGGACAAAATTGGCAGTGTTCCAAAATTTTAAAATTCCAAGAATAACGGACAGAATTTACGTCTTACGCATACAACTACTTTTAGGTGGTTGCAAAGAGCCCATAAGAATTCTGGCTTTAATTGATTTTACGTAACAATGATAAGATCAATTTATCAATGGTCTCTGTAATACAGCGTCTCGCTGTGAATACTCGTGTGTACACACAAACTTTGGCGCACTTGCCGGCGCACATTGCCGTAAGATCTCATTCTGCTAGATGTCAGGGGAGTGGGGGAGTTGATATTTGATCTCGAGTACTATAAAATCACCGCGCGAAATCGCTTAGGGCGAAGCGCTCTTAATTCGCATTCGGGAGGCCCGAGTTCAATCCCCGTTCCGACCATCTTCACCAGGATTTTCATTCTTTCCCTCAGTCATCCAGGTGAATGCTGGGATGGTTATAATGAAAGGCCACGACCGCAAAACCGGCGTCGCTAGCCGAATTCGTTGACTACGCGAAGCCATAATGGTTACGAATTCGATACATCGCGGGTTGCTGGTTGGGTGACCGACCGGAAATCCCCGGATCTAACGCAGCCGAGGAGAATTGAATCGTTTATTTCAGAAACACGACAAATGCCAAATTCCTCATTTTGATGAAAACTGAGAAAAAGTCTCCCAATTTATCTGATTTCAAAATATTTTTATTCATTAAAGCAGTTGATAAATTAATATTTTTTATATAAATATGCAATAACCGATGTGTCTATCTTCTTGGAACAATAATCCACCGCTAATGAGTGTTTTAAATTTTGGCGTACGACGGGTTTCTGAAATGCTCTTAACGGGATAAACAATGGCTAAATACAAATACTATAAAATAAAATCGTACCTCTAATGCTGCAACAAATGCAAATACGTTCTATTGGACGAGACCAAACACTTTTTTAAATGCTGCAGTCATTTATTTATAATTTAACTATTATGGAAAATAAAAGAGAGTAGGGATTTCTGATTTCAAGAAGAGATGCGCACATTAACATTCCGTGGATTTCTTGGTTAATTCTTAAAGAAGTGATTAACAGATTTCCTCCAATGTCCTGTGAGGTAACCTTAATATTGTTCACAAGAGCAAGGTGTGTAAATTTTGTAATCCGCCGTGTGTGCTTACACAGAGTCTTTAAGACGAATTTGGATCCGTGTCTGACACAAAATCGTGTAGAAGTTTACATTGAAATAGGAACGAATTCACTGGGAGGCTAACACTAAATCTACGTCTGCAAGTCAGCGGCCAAGTTAGAATGACAGCAGCAAAATAATAGAGAAAGCAGGAAGGGTAAGATTGTAAATACAAACGGTTTATGGGAAAGCGGCGGCCTAACTCTGGGAATTTTTGTGCACGAACGATATTCTTTCTTTAGGACAGCATGTGGGGGAAAATGGTCCGGGCCGTTGCGGGTTTTTAAAAAGAAAGGAATTCTCACCAGTATCACATAGATGGGGTTCTCTCTTTCCCTCTCGCACTCTCTCTCTCTCTCTCTTTCTTCCCCCGTCCATCTATTTTTTCTTCCTCTCACTATCTTCTTATTCAACCCTCTCTCCTTCCGGTTCCTATTTAAAACAACATCCCGAAGGCGAATGAGGTCTTTGATTTGTACTCTATTCTCAATATTAATAATTTACCACATTATGATTCTCCTAATTTACTACGTATTCACCCTCGTCACGCTGCAAAGATCCCGGTGCATCATTTTTTCAATCTATTTTACTTTCCTTGACAATATTTACCGTCCTCAAGCTGTTCCAATGTCTGAAAATAAAAGATGAAGCAGAGGATTTTGGACACCAACTCAAGAGATGACCCACGTCCAGCTTCCGGTTTTTTTGGGCTGTGAACTTCAGGATCCTTAAATACCATGTAAACCAAGGGGCGCGCGATCATTCCTTTTCATCCTTTCTCCATTCACGTCCTTTGCGCAGGGTAATGGAATAGAATGAACCCTCATACCCATACAGCACAATCTGTAGCTTGCCATCTAAAAGCTATAACCGGCAAAGGTAGTTTAGGACATCTACTGATGTCACTGCAGTGCTTTTGACTGGCAGCTCTTAAGAGTTCGAGTCCGATGATGGCAGGAGTTTCGACATTGGTTTGTCTGTTGGATCGAATTCAACCGCTGTGTGAAGGAGACTTCTAGCGATCGGCTGCTCTGATCAGTAGTTTTTCCTTGGTTTCTCCGATAAATGCCTGGCGAATGCCGGTGCAATACCCTAATGAACATGCCACGGACGGCGCACGATCTTTCCTTCCTCTTCCTTGTCCTATCCTCACCCCATACATACATTCACATGCCCTACACTATCACAATTGTCGGGAACGTAAAGCTTGTCCCGGCTGGAACGGTGGCACGGTGGAGGGACATACTTGGTTGGGGAAATTCCCCAACCCGCAAGCCTTTGCGGATCTCACCATCGACCTGGGGAAGTTCACCACCACATCCCGCGATAAAAACATGCACTACACTTAAGTGACGAATGAACTGAGCAGTTGACGCGCCCGGAGTCACGAAATCAATGTTTAAATACGACCCCCCTACCCAGCGATCTCCAAAGACTCGAACAAGGGGAAAGACAGAGAGAAAGAGAACAGAAGGAATGAGTGAGTATTGATTCAGGACAGGTCAACCACTGAGGTCATTAGCCCCATAAGTGTAAAGCATGTTGTACCCAGAAAGTGGTGGCATTCCTTCCCCGCTAAAAGGTGAGATCTGGCGCCGACCAACATTTGCTGAACTTTGCCCGCACCAGATACCTCCGCCAGCAGGACAACGCTAGTCTGGGTTTAAGATGAGAAGAAGATCGGGCAAGGGCTGTAAGCAGATTGGTAGGATGCTGGTCCAGAATTTGCCAGCTATTTATCGAAGAAACCGAGGAACACAACCGATCTGAGCCGTCGGTCGTTGGAATTCGTCCCATCTAAGCCCCTAAGCTGGTCAGAAAAATCTATCACCGTCGAACTCGAAATCTACGTCCTCCCGGCCTACGATGCTGCAGATTCGTTGCCGCTGAACTATCACAGCCGGCGGAAAGAGAAATATATAAATATACACCGAGCGAAGTGGTTCAGTGCGTAGCGTGCTGGATTCGCAATTGGGAGGTCCGGGTTCGATTACCGGGCCGGCCTTCCTGCCTGGGGTTTCCGTTTTTTTTTCGGCCACAAGGCGAACCCTGGGATGGTTTCAAAATCCTACAAACACCTTCCACCTCCCATTACCTCACCTAACACCTCCTACCATTATTCTAGTCCTTTCACCCCTCATCATCACCCTATAGTAGTAATAATAATAATAATAATAATAATAATAATAATAATAATAATAATAATAATATCCCGCCTAATTGATATTCAAGGCTAACAACCTTGTCTTAACCAAGGGATGCAGCCAAAAAGCTGATACCCATAATTCCACACATTGATCTCTTCAGGATAGAATACAACTGGGCCTCGAAGAGAGAAATGTGTTGCGTGGTCAGCAGGGGCCCATACGCGATTGTTATTAATAATAATAATGTTAATAATAATAATTATTATTATTATTATTATTATTATTATTATTATTATTAAATGTATATACATAAGTGAGTGGGAGAAAGAGTTGGTGGAGGGGAATCAGAGGAAGAGATACATAAAGGCGAAAGTGAATATAGAGATGCACAGCCGAGTGCAGAAAGAGTACAGCTTAAGTTACATTCACATAAATTCATTTTCACGACTTGTTTATGGCTAACAGCAAATCCAGGGCAAGTTCTGTGACTATCAAATGGCAGAGCGTATTTTCGGAAGTGCTTCTTGCGACCTAGTCTTTCACCTAATCGCACAGTACCTGTGGACGAGGTCATTGACCGGTCACTGGCGCGGTCACAGCGAAGGACGCAGAAAGTAGCGGAGATTGTCTGCTTAGGCTGCGTTCTAGGGGACTCAAAACTTGGAGCAGAGACTATAGGAAGAAACTACAGGTCGCGGAAATAATGTCATGTTTTGAAATGATTTGTATGGTCTTCATAAAACAGAGTCAATAATATTTATAACAATTTTCAAACCCAAATGGAATCTTTTTCAAAAATCTATTGTCCACGCTTGTTGACACCACATCACAAACAAACAACATTTTGATAAAGCGTGGTATAAAAAACCTGGCCGTAATCATCTGGTAACCGGGAAATGAAGATTTTTCCAGTAAAATTCGTATTCTGAGGCCCAGATATAAAAGCTATCGATGATACAGAAAGGATCAGATTTCCTCGTGGTAAAGATTTCCACGTTCGTTGATGTGGACTGGCATTGCGGTCTTGCCCCATCCTCTTGCCAGCTGCCATCTACCGCCGCCCAAAGTACTTTTTTTTTACATTTTCTCAAATCTTCGGTTTCGTAGTATAGTAGATATTAATTTAATAATTTTAAAGAAGAGTAAAAAACCTCGTCCTAAATAGCAATTTTCATTGGAAAATTATGAGCCGTTTCTAAGAAAATGCCGTTTAAGCGATACTGTAAATCCAAAATTTAAAGCTCTTTTTCACAGAAACTTTGTGTATTCGAAAAATTTCATTTTAAGTCATTTGAAGCACTTTAACTCACAAATGTAAAATCGCTGGAAATGTGCATATTAACAGCGAGAGAGATATTTAGAAAATTTATATTCGTGTATTATTTGGAATAACAAAAGAATACAGAAAAATTAAATTGACGTCATATCAAACAGTGAAATTAGCACTATCCGTTGGAAATGTATGATGAAAGAATTTGGAGTCACTTTTGAGAAAATAGCGTTTGAGCGTTTCTGAATATGCGGAATTTTGAGCTCATTTCCCCAGAAATCTGTTGAGTTTTCGAGAAACGTATATTATCATCAGCAATGTAATCATAAATGCAATAATGTGAACAAATCGTCGCTAATGTAAATACTAGCAATGTGAGAACGAAGTAAAAAAATACATATTTGTAATTTTTGAAAAAACGAAAGAATAGAGCAATATTGCATTTATGTCATCTTATAGAGTACTTTTGGTACTATTCCTACGAAAAGTTTAAAGAAAAAACTTAGAGCCACTTTTGAAAAAAGTTTTTATTTTTTAATAATGCAGATATTGCTCGCAATATTTACCAAAAACGTAAAAATGTTTCAAAAAATGTATACGACCTTAATGAAAGAACTAACTAGGGAGAAAAATTTACTTGAAAGAAAAATCTATCATTTCAATTTTACAGTTGGAGGTAGATGCCTTTAATTTTGTAGTTGTAGAAACGAACAAAAATCATACTTTTGAAAGTTTCGAAAATTCAGAGTTCACCGTGAAAATCGGACTTATGCCGCACTTAATGTCAAATGTCAGAGATTAATTTTAGTGAATAAAGTGGTTCAGGTGAGGAATGTTGAAAGAATAATACAGAATGTTTTCTTCGTAGTTTACTACTACCGTAGTGAATGTGTTTCAAGTGCATTAGTTCGAATTGTTTTACAACTGAAACGGTTCGTTTTAAACCTGACTGGGGGATTTTGGGACGGCAAAAAATTCTCATTGTGGCATGTCACGCTTGTTACATGGAAAAGAACCCAGTCACAGCAACATTAAACTTTTTCAAATCCCCGTCAGATGCTATAAGCAGACGCTTAAATAAGGAAAACCGCAAATAAGCTGTAAATATAACTGAGATTGTCGTTGAGTCGGTCCCAGCAGCGTACATGGGAGTCAGTAAAAGAGTAATTGGAAACATGTAGTGCCAAATTCAAAACTGATCAACAATTCATTACGTCGATGGTGGGCAAATGACACGTTTCCAGGTTGTTGACATTGTCCAATAACAACTTTCATACATTATAATTTACATCTGCTTTCAACCGTTTAATTTGAAACAGAAAGACGGGCATAGATCCAGCCTTCGCCTTCTACTTCTCCTCGAATATTCTTAAGTACCGCCTTATGTGAGTGGGAATAACGTAGTACTCGTACATACGAGGCTCAATTTTATGGTTCAATGCACATAACTAGGGACTAATACACTTTCCGAAATTAAGAAAATCTCATGAATGTCGTGCTGTCAGTTGGATAAGACCATGTGATTTGGTGCGAAGTTGCAAATGCTAGTGCACTAATGTTATATTAACAGTCTAAATTTCACCGAAAAAAATATTAAGGACTTTTTTTTCGTTTGGCTGAAGTGAAAATGTATCAAATTACTGTAACTGAATTTCACACAATATTACATCACGTTTGTGACAGTTTGGCCTCTTAAGTAAAATATTTACTGGTGAAGTTATCTTGAACGGAAAAACTGGAGGGGGTATTACGTGGGAATCATAATGTTACTTGTTCAACGTGAGCGGAGCGAAAAATAAGAGTTACAATAGAGTTCAATAACACGAGACGTAGTAGATAAATACGTCTGCTGATAGCGACAGAACCACGCACAAAGGGAAGTGTTGCCACAAAACAGACAACGAGTAGGTTCTTGACCCGACCTGTACAGGCTGCAGAAAAGTGAAAGTTCCCGAGCGGTGCGAGGAATGCACAGTGGGGGAAGCGGCCTATTATGAAGGAGCTTATAAACTGATCGGTGATTCATGATCAGCAGATTTGACTCTGCAGAAGAATTGGTCTGTAAGGAAGCACGAGTTTAAGGAGGGACTTTGGTGCTTGTGTTAATTACAGAGCGCAGCGTGAGCGAGGGAGAAGGGAGCGGTGACAGCGGGAGTGGGGACAGCGGGAGCGGGGACAGCGGGAGCGGTGGCAGGGACACAGGGAGCGAAGAAGGTGGGAGTGGAGACGGCGGGAGCGAGGTCGACAGGAGCGGGCCCGGGGGAACTGGGCCGGAATACTAAAGGGATCGGTTACGAGGGCGGTGGGGAGCGGGCACCGCGGGAGGTCGACGAGCGCAGCGAAGAATGCGGGAGCGGGCATGACGGTTGCGGGGTCGGCGGGTGCGGGACGGTGGCGCGGGGAAGGCGGGAACGGGGCCGGCGGGAGCGGGTTTGGAGGGTGTAGGAACAGTGGATTCGGAGACGGAGGAAGAGGGGCCGGAGGAAGGCCAAAAGAGCGAGGGAGGCAGGAGCGGGGATGAGGAGAGCGGCGACGGCGGGAGCAGGGACGGCAGGAGTGGTGACGATGGGAGTGGAGACGGCGGGGTTTGGGATGGCGGGAGCGGGGCGGCGGGAGGACGACCGAACCGACGAGTAAAAGAAGGAAAAACACAATTTTTCAAGTACGTACTGCGCATTATACTTGTTATCATGTTTGTTTTGGTTTATTTGCCTACATTGTGAGAATCTGAATGAATAATCTATGCTCTACAGGTTTCCTCTGAATGACGAAGAGAAGCTGAAAATGTGTATTATTGCTGTGAAGAAGAAGGATTTTGTTCCTACCAAAAACACCTGAATTTGCAGTGATGATTTTAAAGAAGATAACTATTTATGTATGCCCAATATTAATGTACCACGACTGAAGAGTGTAGCCGTGCCATCTGTTTTTCAATTTCTGGAGCACATGAAGAAAAAACCTCCAATTCGGAGAAACCTGCACAAAAGACCCGATGAAGCTGTGGAAGAAAACGTCATTCCTGTGAAAAAAGCTACTGTTTCTAGTCGTACCAAATTGCGAAGGAAGATAAAACCTCTTACACTGAAGTTACGCAGAAGAGAGAAAAAAATTGTGTCTCTAACAGATTTACGAGTACATTTAAGAAATAAGCAATTAATAGACAAATATGTGAATAGCATAATTGAGAATGAATTTGATGGGACAACAGCAATAGTTTTTGAAAATGAGCTGAAGAACCACAATAGAAAATATAATGGGAGGAAATATTCGATGGTGTAAATCAAAAATGCACATCATATCGACATTTCCTCATGTCTGATTTTGACCACTCTGCACGTTCTAATCCCATACGTAGTCTTCCTTCATTGCTCATTCCAAAGTCCCTAATACCTTCTTTCCATAAAGTGATGAAAGTGTTCTCCGTGTTCCTCGCTTACACCTTCCAAATTTTATCTAAAGAAATTTATATGAGATAACCAATGCATTTTTACTGACATTCTCCATCCAAGCAAATGACACTTCGTAGCAAATTCTATGTCAGTTGCATATAATTCTCACTTCTTTTGTTTCTCACAAAATCTTGCACTACTTTTCTGAAAGCATCTCAAGCATTATGTTCATCAAGAGGCATTTCGATTGCAAGAGCTGCAGATTGCAACATCAGTCGAATCTGAGGTATACTAAAAATTCCACCTGTAACTTTTGTTTCTGATAATTTGGGGAATATTAGTTTGATGGTGCTCAAATACACACTGTTGCTATCCAATGCTTTGATAAATTATTTAACAACCTCGAGTTTAATATGTGACGGAAAAATAATATTTTCTCTGGACACAATGTTCAATTTTTAAGTACGTGAGTGCACCTTGAAACATTCTGCTCTTGTTAACTTTTCCAAGAGTAGCTTGGCATTTTCGTTAGCCTCTTTCTTGCGAACTGAAGTTGAAGGAAACTTACTTCCATTGTGCAGTAAGACAGCTTTAGGACTTGTGGCTGAGCTATCTATAAAACGACATCAATAGTCTGGTTCATGAGGACACTCAATTGGTTTAACGACTCTGTTAACACCATCACAAAGTCAAACATTTTCGTACATTTGATAGAAGTACGCAAAGTTCTTACGCCTTGCCTTAAATAGTGTTGTTTTGTAATATTTAACATGCTAATTGTATTTGTTAAGACAGAAATCAAGGATTTCAGCTTTTGATTTCGTTAGTTGCAACTCTCATATAAGGTAACCTAATCTTTCTTTTTACTAAAGAGCTGGTGTTCTGTAATAATCTGCAAGTTAAATAACTGATATTTCTTTAATTTTCCATTTCTTCTTCCCATACGGTCTGTTTTGGAGGCGAAGGAATTTGTAGCTCTTCACTATGACACATTGTAGCAATACATGACGATATGCTAGGACAGAGTTTTCTTCTGTTCTTAAAACTTTGGTAATGTGTAAAGTTTACCAAGGATAACATTTGTTATGATGATTTGATGGCCTCCAGTTCCGGGGATTTGCAAATGACTTACACTTTCTTGAAGAATATAGCCAACCTTTCAATGTAGATCGGCAGCTGCCACAAACACGTGGGGAGCCCATGAAACATCCTGGTTTTGAACATGTACACTGAAGTAAGATAAGCAAGATACGCCTCACAGAACTTTGTCCCGGGCACGATTTTATGTTTTACTAATAGAATCGGCAATAGTTTGCTATTGCAATGTATTACACTTCACGTGCTATTGGCCATGTGATTGTCAATCACGTTTTACGCTACGCTCTGTAAAAAATTTAATAGAAAAAAGACTTTCTCGCGAGTGTGATTCCGTCTCTCTCTTCGTGTCTTTCCGAATCTCTCCCTGTCTCTCTCTCTGTTTCTTCGACTCTCTGTTTCTGTTTGTTTCTCTCTCTGCGTCTCTATATTCCTCTGACTCTGTATCTGTCGCGGGAGAAATTTCACAATCGCAGTGGCAGAATACGCAATGAAGGCGCCATCATCTAGCGTCTGAATCGCACTTCAGTGTGCAGTAGGCTGCGTAGAGAGCGCCGTTGGTAAATCGCGCTCATCAGGGTCCATTAGTCTACATACAATCATCATCAACGCGCGTGCATGTGCGCAGGCATATGCACATTCCCATCGCGTTACGCCTACATTCTTTCCAGAAGTGCAAGAAATAAGTAGACAAAGTTTTTATCTCAATCGGTATGGCAGCGCATTAAGCACGAACCAAAACAAACAAACAAACATTGTCCTTTATGATTTATTTGTTTAGCGCCGAGGTAATGTCAACAAACAAAACAAAAATAATCTGCTGGCAATTTACTTACAATCTTACAAGATTACAATCTTTGGATGCTGACGTCACTCAATAGAAGAACAACCTTTGTACTTATACAATTGCGGATCTGCAACAAACGTAGGGAATTAAACACATTGTGATTAAATATATCGGTGTATACTTGTTAAATGAGGCTATATATTGAAACCTTCTACCTTGCTACTAATACAGTTGGACTTCACATCCCTGCCATCCACCACTATCTCTTGGAACTATGACGATTGCCTGAAAAGCAGAAGAAAATCAAATTACCTAACAATAGATAAAATATCGAAAATTTTCGACAATAATCATCAAGAAAGTTGCATAAACAATTTATTGTTATATTAAGTTGTTAATCTGACGTGTCGCGAGCGTCTCGTAAGTATAGCGTAGTTACGTTACTTTGTCGTAGTATCTATACATTTCTCATGGCCGCGTGCTGTGAAACCTAAACTGTTTTCTGAACAGGGTTGCTACATCTAAATATTTACGAACTATTTACAAAAAGATTTCTCCTGGTTTTGCGCCACATCGAATTTGCCGTCTCTTCGTCTCTTCAAGACGCTAATATTTCAATTTTAATTAATATATTTATTAATTAATATTAATAAATAACCCTGCACATCTCATTTTTTACTTATGCACAAATGGGCCGAGTTTTATGTAGCTAACTCCAGGTGAGTGAATTCGAATCAATTGATCACTCTAAATCACATTTTTTGGAAAGTGAAAAATTAATGAGAATCTCAGATACTGAGAATTCCAGTATGCACCAACAAAATAACACTTTTCACATTCTAACATTCACTCACTAATCTTCAAGTTTCTATATATTAAAATAGTTACGATAAATGTAATAATTAAGCATGAAAATAAAACAATCTAAAAAATAGAGGGTAAATTCTTCAATGATCAGCTAAGAAAACACATTCTTTCTCTCTATGAAGGAACGCCGGGACATACTTTGAAAAACCCTTGAATGACAACGTTTCTTGGCGAGGGTTTGACTGCGAGGGCGGGTGGACAGGCGGCGGGCGACGACGGCGGGCGGGGGCGGAGGGGGGAGAGTAGCGCAAGCCAATGTCAATGGCAGTCCATTTTAACCCTTGGCAACTTCTCGTAGCGGCATTGTGCATCTGTACGTAACGACACTAGCCTCTCCACTCCTTTTCTTTAGCGTATCAGTTGGCCAGCAGCATACGCTGTCACTTCTACTCGCGGATTTCGTTTATGCTTATATTAAATTCCACATACTCTAGTCCTTCTCTCACATGTGTATATATATATGTATATATATATATATAATTGTTTACTGGCATTAAATAAATAAATATTCTACGTCCTCGTTTCCCAACAGCACTGCTTTCTGTTTTACAGTCAAACTAGTTAAGTATGAATTGAAAACAGTGGTAAATTTTGAGTCTCCGAATATCTAGTATGTTATGTAGGTATTAATGTACTTGCATCAGAGCTAATAGAGTTTACAATACATTTTTTTAATTGAGGTGTTTGATTAATTTTTAAAGGTTAAGCCTATGTACGATATCTGGAAAACTAAATCTTTGTATTTAGATTTCTATAGTCTCGGCTATTGTCGAGTAAATAATTTGGATGATGTTCTAAGCATTTTTGAAATTTTTGGTAGCGCATTTCGAAGTCTCCTCAATTACTAGTATTTCATTCCGATTTCATTCCGAAACCTCCATTTTTGCAACTTAAAATACCGAGAGGTGTCATCGACTAGTTCGTCAGCTATGTCGATTTCAGTCGCTGTCTGGAGGAGAATAATTCTCCTCCACATATATAATTATTATGTCTGGCGTCGGATATAATTATTATCGTGGCCGGCCGCTCTGATCAATAGTTTTCGGTAGTTTCTCCGAGGAACACCAGGTGTATGCCGAGGTAGTAACCTATCAACTGAGCCACGCGCGATTATTTCTTCCTCTTCCATGTCCTAACCTCACCCTTTACTTGCACATTTACTCTCACATTCACTGCACTATCACACTGCCGGAAGACCCGTCGGGAGCTTGGAGTTTGTACCGGCTGGGACGGAGTGGGAGATACCTAGTCGGGGAAATCCCAGCTAGCCGACGGTAGAGCCGCGTCGGATATCACCATCCATTGGGGGAAGATCACCGCCACCTCCCGAGGAAAACTACACTACAATTACGGGACAGCAGTTGGCGCGCCCGGAATCAGTAACAATCAATCCATCAAGCAACTTAACTTCTAGGGCAGGGGTCTAATTGTCTCCATAATTTTTATGTAATTACCTATTAGACTGTTGATTTCATTCCAATAACGTTATTAATTTTTAAATTAACATTTTCGCAAAAGAAACTTATTTTCAAGTCCCTGCTTTTCCTCCCTTCACAGATTTAACTTAAAGTTCAGCAAACCTGCCTGAAAGACAAAACGCACTGACCGCAACGACATTAATAGCAAGTTCTTAATATTAGGATTTCAGAGCGCACAAAATACCAAATTCATCAATTTCACCACACGAATGTTCAAACTATGCTGCTTATTATCCATGTCAAATGGAACATGAACGAAGCATATCTAAAAACACGTGTAACTGTGAAGAAATAATACATAAAAACTTGTCGTATGCAGAATACATATCTTTTTTAAAATAGGAAAATTACTGAAAGAGTTGAAAAATATACGACTGTACCAATAAGTACTTTTATTTTAAAAAAAGCAAAAACGAAGATAGAACAAACCAAATCTCTGGCGGCTATGGTCGCGGTAAAGAGTGCAGACCCAAATGGCGCCGACGGGTGCCAAGTGGTGCATTCCAAAACATAGCGAGGGGGGGGGGGCAAGTAGCAGCCCATTTTAAACGCTGGCGACGTTCCCTTTGCAAACTGTAAACCACACAACCAGGGGGGGGGAGGCGTCTACACCTCACAACCATTGCTCGCGGAAGACATGTAGGAAATATGGAGCAGGGAAATACAGAACATCCCATATTTGGGGTTAAACCCTCATTGAAATACAATAAAATTATTCACCAGTTAAGGGAAAATCAACTTGACAAATTAATACTAAACACTAAGAATCAAATGATAAATATCTTTACATGAAATCTATGTTACTTGAATCTGAGGTCTCCATGAATGACCATGTTGCTGGAAAGCTACCAAAAATACATAAAAAAGTACAGTCCATAATTCAGAATTTCATATCCGAACATTATTTAAATTATAATTTTTCATATTTACACACATTCTAAAGGAATTTAGAACCAATTTCTGCTACATTGTTGAACGGGGCCTTAAAACCGCCAATAAAACAATTGTTTACACAATTTCCGATTGCTCTACAGCTCAGTTTTGATCTCGGTCCACTCGCATTATCAACTACCCCCAACAGTCCATTTCCTAGCGACAATCACAGAGAACCTCTGCCATTACCACTACTACTCAAAAGTACCATCCACAACTCCGCCGCCGCCATCGCCGCCACCGCGACCACATCCACCGCCGCCACTTCCGCTGCCGCCGCCTCCGCCATTGATGCCACCACAGCCACCGCCACCACCGCCATCACAGCCGCCACCACTGTCACCACCACCGCCACCGCAGCCCCAACCCCGCCGCCGCCGCCGCCGCCGCCACCCCTATTGTCGCTGTGCATTC